TTATTCTTTTTTTTTTAACCACTAACTGAAAACATGAGAATATGTACCTATGAACTTGTATATTTGATGTTTTGGGTTAAACACATCTCTCTTTTGCCCAGCTGGTGTGGCTCAGTGGTTGAGCGTCGACCTATGAACCGGGAAGTCACAGTTCAATTCCCCAGTCAGGGCACATGCCTGGGTTTTGGGCTCGATCCCCAGTAGTGGGCTGCGTGCAGGAGGCAGCTAATCAATGATTCTCATCATTGGTGTTTCTATCTCTCCCTCTCTTTTCCTCTCTGAAATCAATAAAATATATATGTATATATATTTAAAAGCAAACATTCTCTCCTCCTCTTGTAAAAATGACATCAGGCTCTATTTTTAAATACAAAAAAAGGTATATATCTCACTACCCAGATAAGTCTTGAAAACATTTTTTTTTTATAAATTTTATTGATTTTTCACAGAGAGGAAGGGAGAGAGATATAGAGTTAGAAACATCGATGAGAGAGAAACATCGATCAGGTGCCTCCTGCACATCTCCAATGGGAGATGTGCCCACAACCCAGGTACATGCCCTTGACCGGAGTCGAACCTGGGCCCCTTCAGTCCGCAGGCCGACGCTCTATCCACTGAGCCAAACCGGTTTCGGCGTCTTGAAAACATTTTAAAAAACTAAGATAGCCTTCTGCTTTCAAATGTGATAGAGTGGCTGGTACCAAACTAGTGTTCCTGCAGTATGCAGCTAGAAAACTAAACTAAATATATGAATAATCTGTTTTCAGACATTGGACAATCTGACCATGGGAGTTAAATTTATTGGCATAATTGTTCATGATACCCTTTTCTTTTTTAAAATATATTTTTATTGATTTCAGAGCAGAAGGGAGAGGGAGAGAGAGATAGAAACATCATGGATGAGAGAGAATCATTGATTGGCTGCCTCCTGCACGCCCCTCACTGGGGATGGAGCCCACAACCTGGTCATATGCCCTGACCAGGAATTGAACCGGTGACCTCTTGGTTCCTGGGTCGATGCTCCACTGCTGAGCCACACCGGCTGGGCTACCCTGTTATTTTTGTACAAATATATACAGGACCTATAACCATCTTCCATTTCTATTTTTGACATTGGTTATTTGTGCCTTCTCTCTCTTTTTTTTCTCGTCATCAGTCTTGCCAGTGGTTTATCAATTTTGTTAATCTTTTCAAAGAACCAACTTTTGCTTTATTGATCTTGTCTATTGGAAATTTAATTTCTATTTCACTTTTACATTCTTAAAATTAATTTTTCCTTCCTTCTACTTTCCTTGAGTTTATTTTATTGCTTTTTCTAATTTCTTAAGATGGTTGCTTTCTTCATTAATGTTTTAACCTTTTTTCTCTTCTAGCAATTTCAGCAAAGGATTTAAACATCCCTCCAATCATTTTAGAGGGAAATAATGTGCCTGCTTCCCACATATTAATATGTAGCATTTAAATTTAAAAAATTTTTCCTTCAATTCCAAATATTTTCTGATGTCTGTTAGGATTTTTCTTTTACCCACAAGTATTTAGAAGTGTATTACTTACATAAAGGAAATCTATTGGTATCTTTTTGACACTGTTTTCTACCTTAATATCGTAGCCCGGCCACTGTGGCTCAGTGTGTGAGCATCTATTAACCAGGAGGTCACAGTCTGATTCCAGCTGGACTCCCTGGTCAGGGTTCATGCCTGTATTTCAGGCCCATTCCCCAGTAGGAGGTGTGCAGGAGGCAGCCAATCAATGATTTTCATCAGTGATGTTTCTATCTCTCTCTCCCTCTCCCTTCCTTTCTGAAATCAATAAAAGTATATTAAAAAAGTAATTTTATTGTATTCATACAATAACATTCTAAGTGACTTCAAACCTTTGACATTTGTTGAAAATTGTTTTATGGCTCAACAAATGGTTAAGTTTATAAATTGTGTTGTCCAAATCTTTTATAGCTTGTTCTATCAATAACTGAGGAAGTCATATAGAATTCTCTCGGTGTGATTATATTATTTTTGCCAATTTCTCCTTTTGCTTCTGTCAATTTTTGCTTTATTTATTGTGATGACATGTTAGTAGGTACATAGAAATTTAGGACTGCTATCATCAATTAATTTGTGTGTTTGATGTGAGATGGTGTTAAGCTTCATTTTGGGGGATGGTAATCTAGCTGCTTTAGTATCATTTTATTTTTATTTTGTTAATCCTCACCGAGGATAATTTTTAGAAAGACTGGAGGGGGAGAGACAGAGAGAGGGAAACATCCATGTGAGAGAAACACATTGATTGGTTGCCTCCCACATGCACCTCAACGAGGACTGGAGATCCAGCCTGCAACTGAGGTAAATAACCCTTCACCGAATCGAACATGGGACCATTCAGTCTGCAGGGTCATCACTCTTTTCACTATGTGAAACGGGCTAGGGCTCTACCATATTTGAATTACATAGCCAACTTGGTGAAAAAAATCAAATTACCATATATTTGTGGGTCTATTTCTGAGTTCTCTATTCTGTTCCATGGATATATTTGACTGTCTACATGCTAACATCAAACAGCCTTAATGAATGTGGCTTTAGGTTAAGCCTTGAAAAATGGTAGTGTAAATGCTCTGATTTAGCTCTTTTTCAATGTTATCTTGGTTATTATAATTTTTCACATAAAATTTATAATCAGATTTTCAGTTTATTGAAAAAGACCTGTTGAGCTATTAAACAGATTCCATGGAATCTATAGGTCAATTTGTAGCAGAATTAACATCCTAACAATAGTGATTTTCCCAATCATAAACATTATATCTTCTTTAATTTCTCTTAGCTATGTCCTGTCATTTCCAACAGAGCGGTTGTACTCGCTTGCCAGGGCTGCCGTAACAAAATACCCGATGGAGTGGTTTAAACAACAGAAATTTATTTTCTCTCAGTTCTGGCAGCTGGAGGTCCAAGCTCAAGGGGTCAGCAGGTTTGGTTTCTTGTAAGGCTTCTCTCCTTGGCTTGGAAATAGCCATCTTCTGTTATGTTGTACATCGTAAGGTCTTTCCTTTATAGAGAGCAACCCTGGTGTCTCTGTGTGTCCAAAAGTCCCCTTCTTATAAGGACACCAGTCATATTGGATGAGGGCCTAACTTAACCAGGTCATTTTCACTTAATTGCCTCCTGAAAGTCCTATCTCCAAACACAGTCCCATTCCAAAGTATTCAGGGTTAGGGCTTCAATGTATAAGTTGCAGAGGGGACACGATTCTGACCAAAAAGTCTTAAACGACTTTTGTTAAATATGTTCCAAATACATGCTATTATTAATGGTAATGGTTAAAATAGTTCTTCAGAAGTCTGTGTCTGATAGTTCCAATATTTTGATGTTTCATGGTCAGTATTACTGGTGTTTCTCATTATGTTGTTCTTGTGTTTGACTGTGCAGGGCAGTGTAGTTGATCATTTGTTTTTAGAAATAATTTTGGATGAAGGGTGATGCTATCTTCCTGTAGAGGGGATTTCGGTTTGTTTCTGCCTTGTGCCTGCAGGGGGCTGCATCTCAATCCAATTTCAGAAACTGATGATTTTTTTTTTTTCTGGACCATATAGAGAATGGGAAACCGAGCCGGGGCAACTTACTACTAACTTCTCTTCTGTCCTTATTCCTAGGACTGAGCCCTTCACAGATTTTACCTGTGGTCCCCTACAGGCTTCCCACTCTTGCTGGCTCCTGGACTCCAACATTTGTGCCTGTTCCTCTTTGAAGTTTTATTTTTCTTTCTTTCTTTTTTTTGTTAATCCTCACCCCAGGATATTTTTTTCCGATTGATTTTTAGAAAGAGTGGAAGGGAGGGAGGGTGGATAAGAGAAGAGAGAGAGGAAGTGAGAGAGATTGGTGATTGCCTCCCCCATTTGCCCCACCCCTACTGGGCCTGGGGTTGAACCTGTAACCCAGGTACATGCCTTTGATGGGAATCAAACCTGTGACCCTTGGGAGTGCGGGCTTATTCTCCAAACACTGAGCACACTGGCCAGGGTGAGGTTTTCAAATGCACACTACTCAGCATCTCAGCCCCTGAGAAGCAGGCAATGTCCTTGAGGAAAAGTGGCTTCAAATGGCACAGTCATGCCTGTGCATTAATGAACACACACACACACACACACACACACACACACACACACACACACAAGCACACCCCCACACAGTTATATCTGGAGGATATAAAGCCTATCATTGCAATTGCTATATCAAACACACACACACACACACACACACACACACACACAAGCACACCCCCACACAGTTATATCTGGAGGATATAAAGCCTATCATTGCAATTGCTATATCAAAGAGCTTGTCTATGTGTATATTTGACATATGTGCATTCACACTTGAACCATCATAGCTATCAATTTACCCTTCCAAGCCGTCTCTATGCCTGCGTATATACACATATGCGCACAAACGCTCCAGGCAGGGAGGCAGGGGCTGTGGCCCAGGGATTCACAGGCACAACACTTCCAAACGCCAGGAGTCAGTTGCTTTAACATCATTTATTGAGTTGAGCAGTCTGTATATCTCTCCTCACAGGCCTAAAGGTTTTTAAAGATACAGCCGATCTTTGACTTGATCAGACCTAAGAATACCTGACAGTAATGACTGTGGTCATTATTCTTAGTGGTATACATTGCAGTTCACATAATGCACGGCTAGTTACAGACTCAGAAATCAAATTTCAGGAAATGATAGTAAATCAAATAAGTGCACCACAGGCCCACCACCCAGATGCACGAAAGCTATCCTCTGTCGGTCCAGCTCCTTCTCTGTGAGTGGTATATGCATGCACCGGCTCACACGCGCTCCCAACTGCGCTGGCAGGAAAGTGCACAGGGGCAGCACTGGAAATCTATGGAGTCACGTCCAAAAGTTCCCACAAAGCCCCAGATGCTGGTCTCCTGTGGCAGGACCGCTCCCTCACTGTGCTCGCAGGCCTCCTTCCAAGTCCCATCTCCAGGACAAGCCCGGGCTTCATCGTCGGTAGCACCGGTTCTTGTAATCTTTAATGGACTTGGCCATCAGCGGTGCAACCTTCTTCACAGGCTTCTTGTGGCTGCTGACCACCTGCTTCCCAGGGATGGGGCGACAGCTGTGGCCACTGGCGGGGTGAGAGGGAGCACGGGTGCCTGCCGTGGGGGCTGGGGCCGGCAGGGCTTTTTCCTGGACAGCTGCTCCTCCTCTTTCAGACGAGTCGGAAAAAGCCATGTTTGCTGGTGTGTCCTGGGGCCTGTTGGTGCTGATGTGCAGGACCCGTTCTGGGACCTCCTGCTCTTGGGGCTGCAGCTGCGACGTGCGTTCTTCCCGCCTTTCTTTCTCCAAAGCTCGGTGACACTGCTTCTTCCTTAAGGGCTCTGTCTCTCCAGCTGGTGCTCCATGGTGCTCCTCCAGGCAAGGCCGCTGCTCAGGTGTGTAACTCTCCACAGCGGGTTGGGGGAGAGAACACGGGACTCCTCTCACCTGAGAGAGCAAGGTGACGCTGTCCTGAAGGGTCCGGACACATTGCTGCAGCATGGTGATCATTTTGCGGCGCCTGGCCCTCTTGGACCCAGAGAACGCCTGTGTCCCGGAGTTCAGCCTGATTCCCATCAGCCCAGCTCCTTCCTCTTCGCCAGGGGAAGGCGGTGCCCTTGGCCTGGGTTGGAAGGAGGACATGGATGCAAAGGCAGGCAGTGGGGGGTCACTGGGCTGGCCCCGGCAGGGCCCGAGGTCTGGCCAGGCGGGTGTCGCGGCAGGGGGCACCTGTGGGGACCTGGCCCCCGCTGCTGCCGGTGGAAAGGGCTTCTCAGACTGGCCTGCCTCTGCCTGGGCGCTTGTCCTGTCCTCTTTCCTAAGACTCTTTCCTCCCAGCGCGGTGGCTGGAGGCTTGACACTCTTCCTCTCTTTCCTGGCGGGAGGCTGGTGCCGGGTGAGGGAGGCCTCCGAAGACATGATGGGCGGGTCTAATTCCTCCTCCACTTCAGGCGGGGGACCGGCTGGCTTCCTTCCCAAGTGAGGAGTTTTGACCTTCCCTTCTGGAGTCTTGCAGGTGTCCCCAACCTTCTCCCTCACCTTGGGCAGCAGGCCCCCTGGCCCCTCTCCTGCATCTAAGCCTCGCAGACGCTGTTGGTCTTTGTGTGATTGGCGTTGGCTAGAGTGTTTGCGCTTTCGCTTTTTCATGGGATTTTCTGAAGCCACCTCGGACGGGGCCCCAGACATCCCAGGAGCACCTGCCAGCCATGGAAGGGTCGGGTGGTCGGAGGCCACCTGTGATGGACGCGGGTCGTGGGTGACTTCTGCCTGGAAAGACATGGTGGGTGGCTGGAATGCCTCCTCTTCCTCAAGGCGGGGAACCGCTGGCTTCCGTCCCAGGGGAGGAGTTCTGACCTTCCCTTCTGGAGTCTTGAGGGTGTTCCCAACCTTCTCTCTCACCCTGGGCGGCAGGACACCTGCCCCCTTTCCTGCATCTGAGCCGTGTAGACTCCGCTTGTCTTTGTCCGAGTGGCTTTTTCGTGAGAGTGTGTGCTTCCGCCTTTTCACCGGGTGTTCCGAAGCCTCTCGTGATGGAGGCTGGTGGTGGGCGAAGGAGGCCCCGAAGGACATGGCGGGCGGGTCTAATTCCTCCTCCGCCGCCGCCATCTCAGGCCGGGGACGCGCTGGCTTCCTTCCCAGGGGGGGAGTTCTGACCTTCCCCTCTGGAGCCTGGGTGCTGTCCCCAGCCTTCTCCCTCACCGTGGGCGGCAGGCCCCCCGGCGCCTCTCCTGCACCGAAGCTGCGCGGACGCCGCTCACGTTCGTGTGACTGTGTCCCCCCCGAGTGTCTGCGCTTTCGCTTCTTCTCGGGGTTGTGCGAGGCCACCTCCGATGGAGGCTTAGATCTCTGGGAGCTGCGGCCCCCTCTCTCCTTCCCCTTCTGGGCCCCACGAGAGGACCGCTTTCCCGCGCTTCCTTCTCGGCAGAGAGGCCGTGGGCTCTCCTCCCTGGCGGAGGCCGGGCGAGGCCTCTGGGTGCTCCCAGGTGAGGGCTCCTCCCGGCCCTGGGCCCCCAGCGGGGGGTGGTCCCTGTGGGAAGGCGGGTGCTCCCCTCTGCCCTGGGGTGCCCCCAGGGGCCTGTCCGGAGAGGCTCTGCCGCCAGGAGGCTCTGGGTGGCCGGGCCTTCCCTCCTCCGACCAGGCACCAAAGCGCGGCCCTGGGAGGGGCCTCGGGAGCGGCGAGGGCGCTCTGTGCTTGCTCCGTGGGCGCTGGGAGCTGTGGGATGGGCCGCGGGATGCGCGGGGGTCTTCCTCCATCTTGTCCCCCAGGTGAAGAGACACCTGAGGGGGGTGGGGGCGCCGGGAGGAGGGCTTTGGAAGGGCTCTCCTCCGAGGCACGCTCCTCACAGTGCTTCCTCCCCGGGAACCAGCTCCTGGCACTCAGTCCCCAGTGGGCGGGCGGACGGGCGGGCGAGGCTTCGGATATGCTCGCGCTTGGAGGTGCGACCTTCTCTCTGGGCCGCCTCCAGCCGAATGGCCCAGAGCAGGCCCAGCAGCAACTTTCTGGAAGGTCTAGCGTGGAGGGCGGGGCCAGGTGTGCGAAGATTAGGGGCGGGGCCTGGCCCCGCCCTGGGGGCCACCCAGGTGCCAAGAGCGGCTTCCTGGGTGTTGGGAGCAGGGTCACCTTGTAGGTTCCATTAATCCATTTTCTGGAGGAGGAAACTGAGGCGGAGGGAGGTGAAATTAATTTGCATACGCGGGTCAGGTAACAGGGAGACCGGAAGATGGAGTTGAAGAAGTTGAGGTCCAGGGTGAGGGTACCCTTCAGAACAGGGTGAAGAGTGGGAGCCTAGGGAGAGAAACCCAACTGTCTGCAGCCGAATATCTTAGCCCTACCGAGGGCCTGACTAGTCCCTGTGTCTGTGGGGCCCCGCAGAGCAGGGGCTGAGCGAGGCCTCCATCAGTTCTTCCGGAATGAATGGCTGAGTGACCTTGTGCTCTCATCACCTGCACATCAGCAATCGGGCCTGACTCACATCAGCACTCCACCCTCCAGAGTTTTTTTTTTCTTTTTTTTTAAATTAAATCTTTATTGTTCAGATTATAAAATTTGTTCCTCTTTTTTCCCCCCATAACTCCCCTCCTCCCAGTTCCCGCCCCACCCTCCGCCCTCACTCCCCACCCACTGTCCTCATCCATAGGTGCACGATTTT